CCTCTCCCTCCCTCCCTCCCTCTCTCTCTCTCTCTCTCTCTCTCTCTCTCTCTCTCTCTCTCTCTGTCTCTCTCTCTGTCTCTCTTTTCTTTCTATCTCTCTCTCTCTCTCTCTCTCTCTCTCTATATATATATATATATATATATATATATATATATAAATATATATAATATATTAAAAAGGATCTGATTCTATTTCCCCACTCCCTTTGAAATGCTGTGTTGTCTCATGTTCCGTTAATATAACACCAAGACTATTTTATTTGACGTACTCCGGACACTACGTTTCACAGTCCAGGGCTTTAGAATTGATCAGGTTGCCAGTGTCACAGTCGCCTCCATTGCCAAATGGCACAGATGTCAAAAAGAAAAAAAAATTCTTATATGCCAGGTTGTAAAATCAATTTATTACAAAAAAATCCAACTCTTTGAAATAAATGAACAAAATGTGTTAATCAAAACAAATGAATGTTTTTTAAAAAATTAAAACGAGCGAATGTTTGTTTATAAGAACAAGTGAATGTTTGTTTATAAAAACAAGTGAATGTTTGTTTATAAAAAACATCTAAATGTGTGTTAATTAAAACAGATGAATGTTGTCATTTTCAAAACCTTTGACGGACACGGGAAGACTGTAAGGGAGAGTGGGGACAGTTTCGTAATGAGAGAGGGCGGAGACGGATGTTGAGAGAGGGCGTAGGTGGATGTTGAGAGAGGGCGTAGGTGGATGTTGAGAGAGGATGTAGGTGGAAGTTGAGAGAGGATGTAGGTGGATGTTGAGAGAGGACGTAGGTGGATGTTGAGAGAGGGCGTAGGTGGATGTTGAGAGAGGGTGTAGGTGGATGTTGAGAGAGGACGTAGGTGGATGTTGAGAGATGACGTAGGTGGATGTTGAGAGAGGGCGTAGGTGGATGTTGAGAGAGGACGTAGGTGGATGTTGAGAGAGGACGTAGGTGGATGTTGAGAGAGGACGTAGGTGGATGATGTTGAGAGAGGGCGTAGGTGGATGTTGAGAGAGGGCGTAGGTGGATGTTGAGAGAGGGCGTAGGTGGATGTTGAGAGAGGGCGTAGGTGGATGTTGAGAGAGGGCGTAGGTGGATGTTGAGAGAGGGCGTAGGTGGATGTTGAGAGAGGACGTAGGTGGATGTTGAGAGAGGGCGTAGGTGGATGTTGAGAGAGGGCGTAGGTGGATGTTGAGAGAGGACGTAGGTGGATGTTGAGAGAGGACGTAGGTGGATGTTGAGAGAGGGCGTAGGTGGATGTTGAGAGAGGACGTAGGTGGATGTTGAGAGAGGACGTAGGTGGATGTTGAGAGAGGACGTAGGTGGATGTTGAGAGAGGACGTAGGTGGATGTATAGAGAGGGCGTAGGTGGATGTTGAGAGAGGGCGTAGGTGGATGTTGAGAGAGGGTGTAGGTGGATGTTGAGAGAGGGTGTAGGTGGATGTTGAGAGAGGGCGTAGGTGGATGTTGAGAGAGGGTGTAGGTGGATGTTGAGAGAGGACGTAGGTGGATGTTGAGAGAGGGCGTAGGTGGATGTTGAGAGAGGGCGTAGGTGGATGTTGAGAGAGGACGTAGGTGGATGTTGAGAGAGGACGTAGGTGGATGTTGAGAGAGGACGTAGGTGGATGTTGAGAGAGGACGTAGGTGGATGTTGAGAGAGGACGTAGGTGGATGTTGATAGAGGACGTAGGTGGATGTTGAGAGATGACGTAGGTGGATGTTGAGAGAGGACGTAGGTGGATGTTGAGAGAGGACGTAGGTGGATGTTGATAGAGGACGTAGGTGGATGTTGAGAGATGACGTAGGTGGATGTTGAGAGAGGGCGTAGGTGGATGTTGAGAGATGACGTAGGTGGATGTTGAGAGAGGGCGTAGGTGGATGTTGAGAGAGGACGTAGGTGGATGTTGAGAGAGGACGTAGGTAGATGTTTAGAGAGGACGTAGGTGGATGTTGAGAGAGGACGTAGGTGGATGTTGAGAGAGGACGTAGGTGGATGTTGAGAGAGGACGTAGGTGGATGTTGAGAGGGGACGTAGGTGGATGTTGAGAGAGGACGTAGGTGGATGTTGAGAGAGGACGTAGGTGGATGTTGAGAGAGGACGTAGGTGGATGTTGAGAGAGGGCGTAGGTGGATGTTGAGAGAGGGCGTAGGTGGATGTTGAGAGAGGGCGTAGGTGGATGTTGAGAGAGGGTGTAGGTGGATGTTGAGAGAGGACGTAGGTGGATGTTGAGAGAGGGCGTAGGTCAGCGGTTGTCAACCTGTGGGTCACGACCCCTTTGGGGGTCGCGGGACCATTTTCCAGGGGTCGCCTAAGACCATCTGAAAACATATATCCTTACAGCTATGAAGTAGCAACGAAAATAATTGTGTAGCTGGGGGGTCGCCACGACACGAAAAACTGTATTAAGGGGTCGCGGCACTAGAAAGGTTGAGAACCACTGGTGTAGGTGGATGTTGAGAGAGGGCGTATGTGGATTTTGAGAGAGGGCGTAGGTGGATGTTGAGAGAGGGCGTAGGTGGATGTTGAGAGAGGACATAGGTGGATGTTGCTTTTGTTTGCGAATTTTTTAGTTTGGGAGGTTGTGTTTTGTGCGTTGTGTTTTGTGCGCTGTGGATTGGGCTGACGGCATTTGTTAAGATCCCATCCAATTGAAAGTGTTACGTTTAGTTACTGGCTCCATGTGTTAAGTAAATTGTGAATACTACTAGGACTATGGCTATGGGTATGATTTATTCTATTGTTTAACTCTACTAAGCTAATAATAATAAGAAGAAGAGGTCTTATATAGCACGGTACCCCAGCCTAGGACTGGGCTCACCGCGCTGTACATACAAATTTTATCAAAAGAGACATAATCATGACATTAAAATAAAATACATTTTTGAAATAAAGAACATCAATGTATATTCACCCACCCCACCACATAACTTTTACAAGGCAAACCATGGACGGCAGCGAGCAAGATCGTTTATCGGTCAGAGGAGGGGAGTCACTCAGGGTAGTATAATTTAAAAAGATGTGTTTTGAGTGCAGTTTTGAAGGCCTGGGTGGTTGGTATATTGCGTATGTGTAGTGGCAAAGAATTCCATTGTTTGGGGGCGCAGAAAGAGAAAGATCGTTCACCATATGTTTTAGTGTGTGTCTTGGGAACTGACAGAATACGCGTGTCTGCAGAGGAGTGAAACTGTCGAAGGGGTGAATAGACCGAAAGAAGTTCGGTTAGATATGAAGGGCAGAAATCCAAGAAAAAGTTTTGACAGAGAACAGACAACTTGTAGTCGATGCGTGCCTGTATAGGGAGCCAATGAAGGGAGTGGAGTAGTGGAGTGACGTGATCACGTTTTTTTCCTTTAAAACTAGCCTAGCAGCTGAGTTTTTACTTTCTGCAGCTTTTCTATGCAGAGTTTTGGTGAACCTGACAGAAGAGAGTTGCAATAGTCAAGAAGAGAGAGAACAATATCACTCCACCCACACTAGCATTCAATGGTACTCTGGCACTCGCACACTCCTCTTAACACGGTTACTATAAGACTATACGAACA